ATGTAGTGGCGGGTGCTTTCAACTACAAGTTGGTTGGGTCTTTGGATAGGGTGTCGTGTATGAGGATATAAGTGGATTCCTTACTTTTGGGATTGATCAGGGAGGCTCAGGCCGAGGGTGGTCAGGAAGATAATTGGAAGAAAAAGAGGATCAGGGGTGAGACTGTCAGATTTGTCTCGGATAGTCGTGGGTTGTTGACCCAATGTGGTTGGGTCTTGGTTCCGATGTCTGGTGGGGTTAGACAGATTGTGTTAGAGGAGGCTCATAAGTCTCGATTTTCTATTCATCTGGGGGCCACCAAGATGTACCGGGATTTGAGATTGAGATACTGGTGGCTGGTATGAAGAGATAGATAGCCTGGTATGTGGAGAGATGCATGAATTGCAGGATGGTCAAGGCTGAGCATCAGAGGCCGCATGGAAAGCTGCAATCTCTGTAGGTTCCATGTGGAAATGGGAGCAACTTTCGATGGATTTTATCACCAAGTTACCGAAGACAACAAAGGGGTTTGATGTTATCTGGGTCATCGTGGATCGATTGACCAAGAGTGCCCACTTTCTGGCGATTCGGGAGAGTTCTTCGGCCGAGAAGTTAGCCGATGTGTATGTTTGCGAGATCGTTGCTCACCATGGGGTTTCGGTCTCCATTGTTTCAGAACGTGATGTTCGGTTCACCTCCCGTTTATAGCAGAAGTTCCATGAGGAACTAGGCACGAGGTTGCACTTCAGCACTACTTATCATCTGCAGAACGACAACCAGAGTGAGCGGACGATACAGACCCTTGAGGATATGCTGCGGGCCTATGTCATCGATTTTGATGGGATCTGGGACTCCTACCTACCTCTTATGGAGTTTTCCTACAACAACAATTATCACTCTTGTATTGGTCTTGTATGTGTGGAGATTTCCTACTCCGGTTTGTTAGGATGAGGCTGGTCACAGGGTGATGGGGCGGGACGAAGTGGTCCTTCAGATCACAGAGCTGATTCAGCAGATCAGGCAGAGACTACAAACCGCTCAGAGTCGGCAGAAGAGCTATGTCGACCGACACCGATCCGAGTTGGAGTTTCAGGTCGGCGACATGGTATTACTGAAGGTCTCACCTTGGAAAGGTGTGATACGCATTAGGAAGAGGGGGAAGTTGGGCCCCCGGTATACACATTAGGAGCTCAGTTAGATACACAACACTTTCCATGTTTCTCAGCTGCGAAAGTGCATATTGGATGAGGAGGCAGTGGTTTCCTTAGATCATATTCAGGTCGATGAGCACATGAACTATGTTGAGAGGCCAGTGGATATCCTGGAAAGGAAGGTGAAGGTTTTGTGTAACAAGGAAGTACATTTGGTAAAGGTACGATGGCAGCACCGGAGGGGATCCAAGTGAACCTGGGAGCCAGAGGATGAGATTTTGGAGCATTATCCAGATTTATTTACCACATCAGACTTCGAGGACAAAGTCTAGTTCACGTGGGAGAGAATTATAACATCCCGATGTATAGGTATTTCTAAATTTATGCCTTTAAGTTTATTATATTGCTTTTTGGTCCCTAAATCCAAGGAATTGTGCATTGGAGCCCTAGTGGCATTCTCATAATTTTGGGCAGAAGAAGTACGCTAAGCGTACATGTGTTCACGCTGGGCGTACACTCATGTATGCGGGACATACTAAAGAAAGATGTAAACCCTAATTTTTAAGGTTTGGTTGGTATTTAAGCATTCTTATGTCCATATTTCACATCACCTTATCCGCCTCCATCCTCCCCTTCGTGAGTGAAACCCTAGTACCATCTTGTGAGGCCATTTCAAGCATTAAAGAGTGTATTTGTGTGTTTAGGAGAGGAAGGAAGAAGATAAAGCTCAACTTAGAGAAAGAAGCACCTTAGATCTGGGATTCATTCTTCTTTTGCAAACCTTTTAAGGTATAAAGCTTGCACCTTTGTCTCTTAATCTTGTAGGTCTAGTTATGGGGGTTTTATGTCATCTTTTTGGTCCCAAAAGTCTCATCTTTAGCATGGCATGTTTTGGACGTTTTGAGTTGTCCCTTCAGACCCTAGGAGGGGTCTTTAGCCATAAAAATGAAGTCCCTTTAGTTAGTTTTGCTCCATGCATCTTATAGGAAGTATTAATGGATTAATACCTTGTGTTAAGCTCTTAATAGGCATGGGGAGTCATAAAGTTGGAAACTTTTTTACTCTAGGGTGCATTTGGACCGTGGATCTAAAGTATGGGCTTAAGTGCTTAAGCCATTAAGCACTTTCTTGAGTTTGGAGGTTGCGAGGGTACGCCCCGCGTAACTAGTTGAACGCCCCGCATACGAGGTCAACCACCCCGATGGTAGTCAACTACAAGGGTTGGAGTACGCCCAACGTACCTTAGGAGTACGCCCCGCATACGCATCCTGACTTGCCTCGATTGAGTTAGCTCGGCTAGGTTGACTCAGTTGACTTAGTAGGTTTGACCAGTTGACTTTGACCAAGTTTGACCTTGAGGGTATTTTGGGTATTTTGGGATTTTGATGGAAATTGGTCATTGGTGGGAATAGGTATCGGTTTGAGAGCTGAGATTTTGAGTCGGGCCTTATCAGTTCGGTTCAGTTTAAGAGGTGAGTTTTTCACACTGTACTTACGGGTCGAAGGCACCAAGGCCGGTCCTTTGGATTGTTATCTTGGTTTATCGTATGATTGTTTACTGAAGTGATATGTTAGATTTGTATCCTAGTAGATAGGATGATGTTATGCTTAGTGATCTGTAAGATCTGTCTGTTTGTTGGTGGTTGGTTATTTGTATGCTTGTTTGTTATATATATGTGTCGAAACGGTGTATGTGTGGTTGGGTTCAAGTGGTCCTGCTTTGTGTTGAAGGCCAATAGACCCATGGCGTCCTGGATAGACTGAAGGCCAGTGGGGTGTACCAGTCAGGTCGAAGGCCCGGAGAACGGTCCGGATAGGATGAAGGCCCGGTGTGGCGTACCCGTCATGCTGAAGCATCTGTGAGTGTACCAGGTAGATTGTAGGCTGCTGCGGCGTTCCAGTCAGACTGAAGGCTCTGTATGCATGTTGTTTGCTGTTATTATTATGATTATGTGATGTGTTGGTATTTTGGGGGAACCTCACTAAGCTTTGGGCTTACAGTTTTCGGTTATGTTTCAAGTACCTCAGATGATCGTGGGAAGGCAAAGGTTTGATCATGCACCTACTCGTGTTTTGTTTTATGATTTTGGGAAAACTTTGATATTGAAAATGTTTTGAAAACTATTTTGTAAACAATGTTGATTTGTGTAATGGTTTTAAAAGTTTAAAATTTTCATGGATTTTATGGTTGTTACAGAGACTCTTGGTGAAAATGTTTGTGTACTGAGATGCAGAGGGAACTTGAAGGACTCGAATCACGTCGATGGAAATCTGATCATGAATGGAGTGTATGTCGATCTCTATATGGTTGGTGTGTTGGTGTTGAACCAAGTTGGAAGACATATAGATAGCACTGATGTTATTGTAGTAGGCAATCATTGCTTTTTCTAGAGGATAATGAAGCTCTCAGAGGACGTTTCAAATCTATCATGCATGTATCAGTAACAACATTTACAAATCCTTTGTATTAAACTTCATCACTAGAGCGAGAGATAACACGTTTTCCTTTGGATGACCACAAGACAAGGTTTCGCAAATGAACTTACAATTATCCTGAAGTAGATTTGTGAGTGGAAAGACATCTTCCCCAGTATGCGTCCTAGTAGGATGTGAGGGACGTGTGGGAAGAGGCGGGAATATGAAGATCGTGATTAAGGGAGCCATGAATGTATCTCAGTATGCTCTTTAGAGCATTAAGATGAGGCTCCTGGGGATCGTGCATATAGAGATATATGTGTTGAATAACAAACGATATATTCGGTCTAGTAAATGTAAGATATTAAAGAGAACCTACTGGTCTGTGATACAATGATGGGTCATAAATTGGTTTTCCTGTAGAATACGACTAATGAATGGATTAAGTAAAATTCAACATGTTTCCCATTTTAAAATATTAGTGACATACTTTTTTTAAGAAAGAAAGAGACCAGTTGAGCTGCGGGATGTGGAGTTCCCGAGGAAGTAATTAAAAGGAACCAAATATGTCATAGTAAACTGAAGGCTTAGAAGGGAAGTAATTTGTTGAATGAGATTGGTATATGAACATCTTAGAATAATGTTATCAACATATAAGAGCATATACACATTATGTTGTCTAGATAAGCATGAAACACTACTATAAAAATGAGCTTCCGCCACACGAAAAATGAGTGACTGTAAGCATACAGCCACACATTCGTTTTCATTACATGTGTGATCGAAGGTGGAGTGAGATAAAGTACATACGGTCACATTAGCAAGTTAGTGGTCGTATCCATTTAAAAAGAGTGGCAAAAGGCATATAATGATTGACCAAATGGTTTCAAAAGGCATGAAAAAAGTGTATTTTGAGTGACGTTAGTCTATCTAATTGTCACACGAATACGATATTTGTGTAGCCTTATATATTTGGTGACACAACCATTGTTTTTTTAGGGGATTTCGTTACTTGCAATTAAGGAATGATTGGCCTAAGGTGGTAAAAAGAGTGACCAAATGGTTTAAAAATTCATGAAAAAGTGTATTTTGAGTGACGTTAGTCCATCTAATTTCCACATGAATATGATATTTGTGTAGCCTTATGTATATTTGGTGACACAACCATTGGGTTTTTGGAGGGATTTCGTCACTTATGATTAAGTAATAAGTGATCTAAGGTGGTAAAAAGAGTGGTCAAATGTATTAATAATCTTGAAAAAGTGTATTTTGAGTGACGCTAGTCCATCTAACTGTCACATGAATATGATAATGTTTAGCCTTTTGTATATTTGGTGACACAGCGATATGTAGTCACATTATTTGTATGACAAATATGATTATATATATATATATATATATATATATATATATATATATACACGTAATTGGAATAATTTACGTAATTAAATAAAATCCTAAAGTAACATATAAAAATGATTTATATAACATTTAATAATCACAACTGTAAATTCTTTTGAAAAATCTTGGGCATGGCTTCTTTTCTCATCATCATTTGGTATGGGAAATAATAGTGTTACCTATAAGAAATGAAAGACCAACGAATCAAACATTAAATAAATCATGAAAGATTATAACTCAAAATAAGAAAAAGATTTGGATGTATATTGCTAAAATGAAAAAAAAAATCAAAGTAGATTGCTAAAATACATAGACTATCAATCTACAATGTTGAAGAGAGAATGCAAATTAAATCACCAAGGGTAATAACGTCCACACCAACTAACATGAAAAATAACCACCAAAAAATACCAGCAAGAGGGAGCCAACAGAGGCAAAGTAGTGTATGTATAGAAAAAAAGTACATTACTATTTCTGTCACATCTTTGATTTTCCATGTTCATTTTCTCTAGCTTAACTTATAATATGGTAAACAAACAGTTAACACAAAAGCATATCAATTTGCAATATAACTAACAAAAATCATCTCATCAATATTAATCATGTATAGAAAAACAAATAAATTTGCATTCAGTTATGCAACAAATTGGTTTTTTAAACAAGAACACAAGTTTATAAATTATACATGTATTGTACCTTTAACCATAATTTCAAGCTATGAGGATTTGGCACCCTTAATAAAGGAAGCTGCAAATTATTTAAATATATCTATTAACTAATAATATAAGAGAAAAATTCATAATCAAATTATAAACTAAGCAAACAAAAACAATATACCAGAAAAAGGTATGGTTTATATTTATAATAATTCTTATAATGGAGTTTGATGGGTGTGGAAGTATCCTGTCCTTTAGCAACTGTCTAGGAAAGACCTGCAGGCTGCAACAGATTCAACTTTACATAACTTTGAATATCAAATGAAACTTGCAACTACAGTTAATCATATCATATATTGAATATATGGATCTAGGTAAAAGCAAACTAATAGTACCAACGTACCATTTTTCCAAAAGATTCAGGATACCCAACTCTACAGGCTGCAACAAATAGTAAAATAAGACAGGAAAACTTACCATTTGTAGGTAACTTAAGCATCAAACAAGACAGGAAAACTTACAACAGTTGGTCGCTTGGATAAATCATCACATTCTTCCTGCAAAAGATAAAATAATTACATAATTAAATAATAAAGATGACACTAACCCAAGTAGTAAATGTTAAATACCTTAGGAAAGTCTTGATTTTTGTTTTCCAATAGATATAATGAAGAAAACAAATCCTAAACAACATAATTCAAAAAAAATCTCTTTCCCATTGAAGATTCGATCATTTCTTAGTAATACCACCAAGGACAATGGTAATGGTTCATTTGGTATAACAAGACTGAAAGTTTACTTGTACACTATGCAGTTATCGCGGTCAAAATTTCAATAGCGATCACATGCCGCTATTTGAGATCGTGGTTATCACGGTGGTATAGCGGTTTTTTAATATTAAGTATAATTTATAAATTTATATTGTATTTATATAGAATTTATATATTTGAGTATTAATACCATAAGTTTATATAGAATTAATACCGTCAAACCTAAAAATTCATATAAAAACATAACATAATATTCTATTATAGTAATACGGAAACTAGGTAGTGTCAAAGTGTCAAATAGAGTTTAATCGCATTGCACGGGTTCAATATCGTATTACTAGGTCATGGTTGATTTAAGGAGTTAAGTCCCATATTGTAGCCTCATAGGTGTGGGTCGATTTACAAAAAGCAATAATGGAGACCGACCATAGCAACTCAAGTCATCGTGAGTACAGAAAGAGATGAGACAGAGAGTTGTCAATAGACATAGTTGCTTTGAATGCTTTTAATTATGTTAGTTGTTCGGGCTTTTTAAAATGAAAGTGTGGTGAGATCATTAAAACCATTTTTGTGAACGAAAATGGAATAGCGCCCGTATCTCCGCTATAGGGGTTGTTGAAATAGCGGTAAATAGTGGTGAATAGCGCGGCAAATAACGGTACCGCGAAACGAAAACGCTAAACTAAAAATAACGGTTCTTGACCACCGCAAAACGCTATAGTGTCGTTATAACACCGCTATAGAGTGCAATTGATAGCTTAGCTTGTAAAAGCATAATGAAGACATAAAAGCAAAAACAAACAAGTAAAGACAAGGAAAGAGATGCTTCACCAAGTGAGTTTGACAGAAAACAGGTAGATACGTAAGGTCCTCAGACTCGCCCCATGCTCCGATTAACCGTACCACCTTAGTCCTATTTTGTTCATCCGTTAGAACATCCTCAACCATCATAACCATATCATCAAGAACCTTCTCCGACTCCACCTCCAAGAAAACCTTATCACAATTCGACCATACGACTCATATGAACTCCGCATGTCATCAATCGCTCACCGAAAGAAGATGAGGACGATGACTGCTGACTTCCGGTGGAGGTGAAGTCTTCCCCTGTAATATCAGAAGAGAGAGAGGGGGGAGAGGGACGAGACAGAGCGGTGAGGGTTTGTTCAGCATCGTCTTCCTCAATCGGAGAGGTGAGGCTTTTTAGCGATGCAGAGTTTGGTCAAGCGGTGGCGACGAGGTTAATGGGCGGTGGATTTTGAACCGTTGATGGAAATGGCAGAGCAAAGATCAGGAGAAGGAGAAGAAGGGGAGCGACGTGAGAGATGACGAAGAGGAGTCGCGGAGACTTGAGAAAAAAAGAGGGATTCTAAACCTAATTAATTATGTGGGATGTTTTTGAGGAAGCGGGATAGTTTTGATTTTTTTCATCCGGATTTACAAAGGATTTCCCACCTCCCAACTCTTTTTCATTTTCAAGTTTTAATTACCATTTTCAAGTTTTAACAAAGGATTTCCCACCCCTAATTAATTAAGCGGTATGTTTTTGAAAGAGAAAAAAAAGAGGGATTCTAAACTCTTTTTCATTCAAGTTTTATAATATGGTGTGCTATTCAAAATCCATAAAGACACTATGAAATAACAAGTGACTATTCATATAAACGCTAGACAAGCTATAACACACGTTCAACTTCAGTCACACGTATAGTTATGTGACCATATGTACCGAATTTTTGTTGCACTAAAATCATGTGTGACAAATATCAAACTTAATGATTAACACTTTTTCATTATTTTTGCTCTAAATAATAGCTACATCAATTTTTCGCCATGTGAGTAATAAAAATCATTCCATACACATTTGTGATATGGTGTCTCCATTCGAAATTCATACAACCACTTTGAAATAACAAGTGAATATACACATAAATGGTCACACGTTCAACTTCAGTCACACTTATAATTATAAGACCATATGTTCCAAATTTTTGCTACACTGAAACCATGTGTGACAAACTCTAATTTATGAGTTAGCGACATAAACATTTACATAATGTGACGATTTATGACATTTGGACACCTTTTTTTGTCACTTTTTTACTCTAGTATATTTGTCACTTTTTTTATGTATAGAGTAACTAATGCGTTGAACTCAATTTTCTATAGTCACACCTCCCAATTGATAAGTGACTGAATGTTCTACAAAATATTTCAGTTCACTTTAGCTACTTAATTATTAGAAGGTGTGAAAATACGGTTTCGGATAGTCACAAGATGGAGATTTCCAGCTACTTAAAAAATCGTATGAGTGACTGTTCGTTTCCGGCGTCGAGTGACTAAAGCCTGTTTTTGTAGTAGTGCAAAGAGAGACGGGTTTGTGTGACTATGAGTGATGTCGAGACGAGATGCTTGCTCAGCAAATATATGATACCAAGCCTATGGAGCATGTTTTAGGCCATACAATGATCTCTTAAGAAGGCATACATGATCCGGGAGACGAGTATTACAAAAATTAGACGGTTGATACATTTAGACGGTCTCCTATAAGGTGTCATGAATAAAGGCGTTCATCATCTATAGCTGACGAATACGCTAGTGTCTAGAAAAACTAGACTGATAACAATACGAATAATGGTCAGTTAGACCACCAGGCTAAAAGTCTCATTGTAGTCGATCCCTTGCTGTTGACTGCGGTTGTTGGCTACAAGTCTAGCCTTGTGGAGAGAAGAATCCCATCAACATTAAAAATTTTTTCAAATAGCCACATAGACGTCACAATAATCACCCCAATTGGACGTGGAACCAATGTCAAAGTACCATTCAAAATAAGAGCATGATATTCCTTATCCATTGATTTATGATAGTAAGGTTCATATAATGACTGTAAGAATGACCTGGGACGGGAGAGACGATGGTTGAGTTGAGATCAGGCACTAACTAGGTTTAAAATCTCACTTTTAGCACAAGTCATCATATGGTGAGTGGTGATAGAAGATTGAATCGAATGTTGTGAAGTTGTGGGATGGGTGGCAGAATTCTGAAAGGTAGAGTAAGGTAGAAGGGGCGACTAGGTGGAAGGGGATGTTTTGAGAGGTTTGTGACGAGGATGAAGGAGGTTCGGGTGGTACTTGAATGGTAAATCGTTAAAGGCATACATAAGTTTTTTTTATCAGGCATTGTGGTGCCAATATTTTTGAGTTGGCCAGACAACATTTTGAGCTTGGATAAATATGTTGTGACAACCCGAAATTTCTATTCTGTGCAACAATTCACTTCAATAGAAGTCAGAACTGTTTCTGCTAACTTTTAGGCTGTGTAGAGTCAGTTTGAGTGCTTTAAAGCTTAGCACTTCAGGAGATAACTGGAGAGAGGATGCTCTAGGGTTTATTGTGCATCAGTGAGGTCTCAAAACTCCAAGAGTTTGGAGTTTACGGCCTAAACATGGACTTTACGGCCGTAAACTCCAAAGAGTATAAATATGACACTTAGTCATTTTACTCATTTTGTTTCACACTTTCAAAAGCTAGAACATCAAATCCTCTCAAGTATCATCCGATTTTCCTTCTTGATCTTCAACTTTGTAAGTGTTTCTTGCCCTAATTAGTTGATATCTTACTTAATCTAGTGATCTTACATGATTTCATCCGTGAAATCATTCCATTTGTGTAGATTTTCAAGTGTTCTTAGTTTCACCAAGAACACACACTAGTGTTCTTGGACTTTTAACACCCTTTCAAGCTTATTTATTGTAAGTACTCTTACCCTATTGTGTTATAAGGCTTGTTACACTTCTTAATCAACTAGAAAACATAAAGAAACACAAGATCAAAGGTGTTTACGGTCCAACATGTTCTTGGACCGTAAACCCTAATGAAAGGGCCATTGTGTGCCCTAGTCCCTTACCAAGCCTTGGTTACTAGTCTAGATCATATCCTTGAAGTGTATAGGACCTTAAACTTCGAAAACATCAAGGACCATTAGAGTTTACGGCCATAAACTCATGGAGAAATGGTCCAGGGGCTGTAAACTCTACAAAGAGGTGAAATGTTGCCCCAATCACTTCCTAAGGCTTAGACTTGAAGTTAAGATACTTGCTTATGACCTTTAAGACTTCAAAACACAAAATTGTAGAAGTACCATGAGTTTACGGCCGTAAACTCATGGGTTTACGACCATAAACTCCAAGGGAGTTGGTCCCAAAACCGTAAACTCATAAAGAGTTTACCCTTGGACCCTAAACTCAAAGGCAAGGCCCTACAACCCTTAGATGCAATCCTTAGTACTTATAACCCTTGAATCAAGGTGTTTTTCATGTCCTAGGGTGTCTATACTTGAGTAATTAGTTGTTAAATGACTAATTGGATACATATATGTGTTATTATATGTTAACTAGGATCATTGTGTGTGTTCAAGTCTTCACTTGACACTTAGCGTCCTATACCATCCGTTCATCCAAACCACTCACTACAGGTGATTTCATACCCCTAAATCAATCTTTTAAATGATTTTAAATGCTTTTATGGGGGGGAATACAAGTTGAACTATTATAGTTATTATATCAATCACATGTGATTAATAACTACCAAACAAGTGGATTTCTTACTTTTCAAAGTGTGTTATCAAACAAACTACTTCAAACTGTTTTACAAACTCTTTTACATGTCAAATACTTTTACTAAACTCTTTTAAACTTATATTATGTTAAATGTGTATCTATATAGATATAGTTATATAAGTAGGTTTGAAAGGACTTAGGACTGATAGCTCACCTTACCTCTTGTTCCTTGTTTGGTCGTGGACTTAGGGTATCGGTTATTTGTCCGAAGGTCGTTTGAATCCTAGTCATATATTATGTATATGTATATAGATATAAAAGTTCCTTCATTCTATTCAATACCCTTGGGTAGCAAAGGTATACAAACATGTTCATGCATTCAAACACCATTACTAGTAAACTATGATAGGCGTAGTTTAGGAAGTCACTAATACTATTACTAGAACAGTAAAACATACAATGAGTCAGTTCATATATGAGTCAATACCATACAAAGAGAATATAACATACAGATAGAGAATACTATGATGAGAAACAAACAATACCATACAGAGAGAACATAACATACAGATAGAGAATACTATGATGAGAAACAAACAATACCATATAGAGAGAACATACATACATACTAGACAGAGAAAGAACATACAATACACCTAGTACATACAATACATACACAAGTGCACTAATACAGTTATGTGAGCCACGTAACGGGGCATGGCATCACCTGTCATGGCTCGTTTTGTATCCAGAATCTCCTTAAATGGAGAGCGTTGAGTTTGTGTATAGATATATACTGGATTGACTATCCTACACCTTGTTGCTCGCTATAGTGGGACTTGCAAGTCTACGGGGGCCAAACGTCATTTCTTCCGACGTCTTACATCGTCGTGTTTATAGTCGGTAGTATGGTACAGGCCGATCACATGGTACTTTAAATAACAATTGGTTTAAGGTAGTTAGTACAACAGTAGTTACTTAATACAACACTACAGTACTATTTCATTTTCCCATTGCATTCACTTTGTGATCTTCACACAATAAACAATAATGTAAAAACTATATTTTTGGTTAATGATAGTCAAATTTGGGAAAATACATACTCTTACAAGAGACACACACACCAACACTTGATGTCTTGGTAGAAGGCTACTTTTAGTAGGAAACATAGGGTTTTCTAGGAGAGTTCAAACAATTACAACTTATACATTACATGCTTACAAACAGTTTCATACAAACTCAGACACTAATATACTTATGAACTCACCAGCTTTAAAGCTGATATACTCTTTCAAAATAACTTGTATTCTCAGGTCGCCAGTAGACAGGTACCGATGCCAGGTTTTGAGAAGACGGAGCTCGTTCAAGACTCATCTTTTATTTTGATTTATATTTTTGGTGTCTATTAAACATGACAGAACACACTTGTATTAAATTATATTATTAATGCAATGGATGATGTTGTTTCTTGTTTACTACTTTGCATTGTTATGATACTGTACATGACGTCCTCCACCCCCGAACGATTCCGTCGTTCCGGTTTTGGGGTGTGACAGATTGGTATCAGAGCATTGTTTATAGTGAATCGAGTATATCAACCCATAAAAGATATACGAAC